AGCAACGTCCTCCACAACTAGACTGAAGAACAAAAGGACAGCAACTTGTCTGTTCCCCTTCCCCCAATTCCCCAGCACTGTTCCCATCCCCCCAAAACCCCAATAAAAATCTTTAAAAAAAAGAACTTCATCTTTGCTCTAGTGATTTGAGACGCCATGTTTGTCAAATACATATAAATTTTCTATGTATTGGATCTATATCTAGACTTTCTATTTTTTTCTGCTGATCTGTCTGTTCATGCACCTATACCACACTGTTCTAATTAGGAGAGCTTTATATTATATTTTAATATCTTCTAGTAAGGTTAGTCCTCCCTTGTAGATTTTCTTTCTCAGGGATTTCTTGGCTATTCTCACATGTTTTGTTTTTTTTCCACATGAACTTTATGCTTAACTCGTTTACAAAGGTACATAAAAACATATATAGATATTTTTATTAGCATTGCATTAAATTAATTTTGGTACAAACTGAAATTTTCATGATGTTAAAATGTCTTTTCCAACATCACATGTTATCTTTCCATTTGTTCATTTCTATTTTTGTTGGATTACTCATTGTTATAGGAGAATTTATGAAATTACATTGTATTACTTTGTACCAGAATACAATCTCCAAGAGGGCAAGGCTTTGTCTGTTTTGTTTACTACTATGTTCTCAGCATTTGGAACAATGTCTGAATATATGTTGAATTAATGAATATTGTTGAATGAAGGAAGTTAGAAAAAGGATCTTTGTTTTGCCTTGAGAAAATGAAAAGTATATTAAGAACATTAATTAGGCGAGAACTCATAAATAAACAATAATATAAAAAGGTACCTTTGTAGATCGTACTTTTGGGTAAAATGTTTTTATGAAAATATGTTATTTTGCAGGATATTTTTGTTTTGAAAAAATGTCTTGAGAAGACAGAGCTCAGGAGTTAAAATGAAATGATATGCCATTAAAACATTTAATTTTTTTCGTATTACGTTCTCAGTTCAACTATATTTACATGAAGCAATGTGTAGAAAGTAGTCCTATAGTACCTATTCAGCAGGAATGGCTGGACCATATATTAATGCTGATACCTGAGTCTTTAAAGGAAGGGAAAGAAAGAGAAGAACTTGTTGAAAGTCTCATAAATGAGGTGTCAAGTGACTTTGAAAAAAGCATGAAGAGATATTTGGGTAAGTAGCATATAACACATGCCAAGCTTCTTTTACCTTTGCTTCCTTGCCCCTCCTAATCAAAAGTAGAAATATGAATAATGAATGTTATATATTTAGTTATATGTATTTCGTAGATATTATTTTTATTTAAAGTTATTATTTATAAAGATATTATTTTTATAATAAAGATATTATTATTATTATTATTATTATTATTATTATTATTATTATTATTTACTGAGTCATCCTGCCACCTGTTGACTGCTCAGCAGCAGCTCAACTTGGGCTGGGAATCAAACCGGTGACCCTGTTGCTCAGAGCTCGCATTCTTGAGCAAGCCCTTAACCAACTGAGCTAACTCAGCCGGCCTCAGTAAATATATTAGTTTTATTTTGAGCCTATAACCTAGTTAAAATATTTGTAATTCAAGGCATTTTTTGTAATTTTTTATATGCCTGTTAGCTAAATAATGTTTTGATTTTTCCCTTTGTCTTTCCCTTTTGCTCTACTATTTACAGGATTGTAAGCTAAATTAATAGATTTGGGAGATTTATTAGGATTTAATCTTTGCAGTTTTTTTGGAATAAATTTTCTTCAGTGGCCATGTCAATGACCTTTGAATAGACAGAAAGCAAAAAATTGAGAACTCACTGAAGCTTTACTATGTCTGAATTCACCTCCAAAGTAAGGCCAAAATAGTACCAAGAGCTTGATTTTGTTTCAAATAAAAGAATTTTTGTTTTATACTCATTTGAATGCTTAGTAAACTATACCATCCAATATCAAAAGTTAGAAACTTTCACTTGAGTAGGTCTTCAAAGAAGTTTCAAGTGTTAATACATATATGTATTTTAGTGAAGAGTGTTCTTATGAAACCTCCGGTTAGATGGCTTGAAGATGAAGGAGGCCCTTTACCTGAATCCCCTGTGTGAGTAAATTATTTTAAAAATAGTATTGCACCTAGGTTTTGATAACAGATTGAAAATAAATTGATCTTACTTTTAAGTCTACAACTGTGAAATTCAAAGATATTTTGAACACACCTAAAAAAATAGTACTACATTTTTTCCCCCAGAGGTATCCTCTACACTGTATTTGTCTAGTTGTTGCTTACACAGTTAGGGGAACCTATATGGATGTATAGTTCAACGTGACCTTAAGTAAGCTTTGTTGTAAGCCAGATAGATTTCTCCATCTTTTCTCCCCAATCCTAAGAATGGTGTTTGTTTATCTCTACCCAAGGTACCTGAGCCAGAGCACAGTGGACGGTAGCAGAGCCCTTCTGCCTGGCCATCAGCCTTCCTTACCCACAAACGATCTCTATTCTCTGTATGGTGCTTACCAGAGGGGAAGCGGGTGAGGGGATTATGAAGAGGTTAAAAGGTGTCAAATACATATATGTTGACAGAAGGAGATTAGACTTCGGGTGGTGAGCCCATAATGGAATATGCAGATGTTGTATTATAAAGTTGTACACCTGAAACTCCATATGTTATTAACCAATGTCACTCCAATAAATTTAATTTAAAAAGATTTTAAATGATTTCCATTCTCTCTGAAGATAAGGAATGCACTTTCAAGATCTTGATGTATATTTATTACATGCATATCTCCTAAGGCTCCCATTGTTGATCACATTTCCCTCTTCTCAATCCTCAGTCTTCTGACTTTAATACTAATTTCATGTTATAAATATTATTTCCTAAAATTTAGAGTACATTTGATCCTGTTTGATATGATGTATTGCTTTTCCAGAGGCCTGGATTATTCTAATCCTTGGCATTCTAGCTATCTGCAGACAAGAAATCAAATATTAGCTAATTTGCACATTGTTCATCCAGTGATGAAGGTATTACTGGACCTTGGTTATACGACATTTGCTAATACAGTTTTGCTGGACTTAACAGGAATTAGGTAAAATCCCATATTTATTAATTAACATTTACAATATGAAAGTCTCCTGTTTGACTCTTTATGCTTTGACTATGTAATTTTTAAAACTGATTGATAAATCTTCAGAACTTTTCTTTAGATTAAAAATATTATTAAAATTTATCTTATTTGTTTCAACAATTGTATACCAACCAATATTTGCTTTAAAATTCATATTTATTTTTCTCATAAATAGAGCTAAAGGTCCAATGGATTGTGAATCACTGATAAATGATTTATCAATACAAATTAGAAAAGCAGAAGAGAAAATAATGAACACATGGTATCCAAAGGTTATAAATCTTTTTATCAAGAAGGAAGCACTAGAAGGTATTAAACCTGAAAAATTGGATGCATTTTATAACTGTGTTTCCACACTTATGTCAAATCAGGTAAATATGTTTTATATATTTTAAATGATAATGTTATTAAAATTAGTTTAGTATTTTAAATAAAATTATATTTAAATATAGTGCTAAGTAATTATTTTGAAATCAGTTATGAAAAACATTTTTACTATAATTTTATTTAAATAAATTTAGCAGGAAAATGTTTCATTTCTGAAGCAATCTAAAATGAGAGTAAAGTCTAGGAGTGTGTGTCAATATTATGAGTGATTACTGGACTCATATAAAGGCTATAAGCTAATTATCTATAGCTTTGTTGGAGTATATTAACAAAAGGACTATCCTAGCAAACATATTTTTGAACGTATGAAATTCCAAGTTGATTGATTCTCATTTCATTCTCAATAAAATTTTGGTTCCAAATGTTATTGGTCATCTTTAAATTACAAACAAAGAAAATGTTAATTTTATGCAATTATATTCATAGACTCCTTAGATATTTATTATTATAGAAATATAATTCTAGAAAAATAGTTTTTAATAAAAACTTTCCCTTGTGGTAAAGATCTCCAAAGCTTCCATGAATTTTGCAAAATTTCAACAATTTTGCAATTGCTAAAAGGACAATATATATTTATGTATTGATGATATATTATATATTTTTTATTGAATTATTTTTTATTATGAAATACACATTTTTTAGAGTTAGTTTCAGCTGTACAACACAGTGCAATAGTTATACTTTTTACCCCTCCAAGTGACAACCCTCTCTCCCAATCCGCCACCCCATTTCCCCCCAATATCATACAAATCCCTTGACTCCACTCCCACACTATACTCCATGTCCCATGACTCTCTCTCTCTGAGAGAGAGAGAGAGAGAGAGAGAGAGAGAGTTCATGGGCATTTCGGTTGTTTCCAAGTCTTGACTATTGTGAATAGCACCGCAATAAACATAGGGGTACATATATTTTTTTGAATTAGCGTGTTGGGTTTCTCTGGATAGATACGCAAGAGTGGAATTGCTGGGTCATATGGTAGGGTAGTTCCATTTCCAGTTTTTTGAGATACCGCCATACTGATTTCCATAATGGCTGCACCAATCTGCAGTCCCACCAACATTGCACCAGGGTTCCCTTTTTGCCACAACCTCGCCAGCACTTGTTGTTTGTTGATTTATTGATGATAGCCATTCTGACTGGAGTGAAGTGGTATCTCATTGTGATTTTTTTAAATTAAATTATTTTTTATTATGAAATACACATTTTTTATAAAATTATTTTTATTATGAAATACACATTTTTTAGAATTAGTTTCAGCTGTACAACACAGTGCAATAGTTATACTTTTTACCCCTCGAACTGANAGTGTCACTGGCCCTCATATGTGGGATCCGAACCGGGGCCCTCTGGCGTCCCAAGCCAGTTCTTAACCATCGCGCCACTCGGCTGGCCCTATAATTTTTTTGTACTTACTTTGAAGGTATATATTCAAAATACTGTGTTCAAAAGTTACAGTTAGGTTCATTTCTTTCTGCTGTTTTTTTCCCTCTTTTTAAAATTAGTTTCAGGTGTACAAAACAATGTACTAGTTAGACATTTACACCTCTCAAAAAGGATAAAAAATTATGGAACGCTTCATGAATTTGTGTGTCATCCTTGTGCTAATCTTCTCTGTATCATTCCAGTTTAGTATATGTGCTGCTGAAATGAGCACTCTTTCTGTTTTTAATTTTGAGTTTCTTCCCCTGCCTCAATTCTTACTGATTTTCTTATATTTTGAGCATATGAAACAATAGCATGGTTTAAAAGTCAAAACTATAACAAAACATGTACTCCCATCCCTTCTACTCTGTTTCCACTCCCCATACTTTCTACCCCTTCCAGCCCACTCCCTTTATATAACCAATCTCATTAATTTCTGGTTTATTTTAACTGTGTTAATACTTTATTTCCCTTTTATCTTACACAAAATGCATCATACTATAAATATTCTTTTACATTTTGTTTATCCTAGAAATCACTCCATATAATTCATAGAGGCCTCCTTCATTCTTTTTTCCTCCAGCTTTGTTGAGATATAATTGACATACAGCATTGTGTAGTTTAAGGTGTACAATCTGTTGATTTCATTTCCTCATTCTTTTTTTATTGCTGCACAGAACACCAGTGTGTGGATGTATAATAATTTATTCAGCCACTCTCAAATGCCTCCAGTATTTTGCTGCAGCGAATAACCTTGTGTTTTTTCATATTGCTGGAGGTATATTTTGAATTTCAAAAAGTGGGACTTCTGGGTCAATGTGTAGTGTTGTTAGGTATTGCAAAATTTCTCTTCATGAGGGCTGTGCCAGTTTGCCTTCGTACTCAGAATTTTTGAGAGTGGTTGCTTCCCCATACTCTCACCACAGAATGTGAGGGTCATAATTTTCTTTTTTGTCAGGTGACAGTCGTTATTTCAGGGTAGTTTAAATTTGCTTTCTCTAATTATAAGTGAGATTAAAAATCTTTTCATATATTTAAGGGCAATTTTAATAATATTTTTATTGTGAAATGCTGGTTCATATCTTTTGCCTATTTTTCTATTGGTTTTTGGTCTTATTTTCCACTAAATTAAAAAAATTGAAAAATACACATAACATAAAATTTATCATCTTAAACATTTTTAAGTGTACAGTTTAGTGGTGTTATGTATTTGCACATTGTTGGGCAACCAGTCTCCAGAACTTTTGCATCTTGCAAAACTGAATCTTTACACTCATTAAATGACAACTTCCCCTTTCCCCTCAGTACCTGGCAACTACCATTTTATTTTCTGTTTCTGTGAATTTGATTACTCTAGATACTTCATATAAGTGGAATCATATACTGTATATTTTTTATCACTGGCTTATTTTATTTAGAATGATGTCCCCAAGGTCCATTCATCCCCTAAATTTTTAAGCATTCTTTACACTTTATTTGAGATATATGTTGCAAATATTTTCTCCTATGTTGTCAGTTGTCTTTTGACCTTTATATCATGACTTTTGCCATGCAAACATTTTTATTTTTATGCAGTCAGAATTTGTCAATCATTCTTTTCCATTCAAATGGAATTTGAATCATAGAAAACTTTTGCAGAAACTCAAGTTATAGAAGAATTTATCCATTTTTTTCTAGACTTTGATGGTTTCATTTAGTTACATTCCTGAACTATTTGGAGTTTATTCTTGTGTATAGTGCAAGATATTCATTAAATTTTTCTTTTGCCAAATGACTAACAAGTTGTCCTAGAACTTTTCATTAAGAACTTCATCTTTAGGCCAGCTGAGTGGCGAGATGGTTAAGAACTGGCTTGGGACGCCAGAGGGTCCTGGTTCGGATCCCACATATGAGGGCCAGTGACACTGCCCTCTACAGCTAAGATGCTGAA